AACACAGACTAAAACAGCAATGTACAGACGAATCAGATGATTAAACATGATCTTAAAATATATTTTATATATTTTTTTATTTTTTTTTTTGCATTTTTGTAATCATTATTTGTAATACTTTCTGCTGACACTAGGTGGGGCTGTGCCCCACCTGCCCCTAATGACCAGTCGCCACTGCTTGTATTACATGTTGAACCACATGCTGGATATCTTCCCCAGCCTCAAGGAAATACAATCAAATTAATGGATTCATAATTTAAAATGTTTATAAAAATGTATAAATTAATAATGTTGTGTGCAAACATTTCAAATTGAAATATAAAATGAAAAATAAGTTTACTTTTGAAATGATTTCTCACAAAAACCTTTCTAAATTATAGTAAATTATTAAAAAAGGTTTCGTCAATATACGTTTTTCTGCCTAAAATAGTTAAAATTGAACGTAAACTATATCAAACACCACATCCATGGCAATTATCCCATTTTTGTTAAGTTAATAACAATATTGATATTATATATATATATATATTTATATATAATATATATAGCATATAATTGATGCAGTCTTTCTGAACATTTTTTAAATACTGCAAATGAAGAATATTTGTAATGTTTTACACAGATAGTTCCTTAACTTGAATTTGAAAACACGTGGCAACTTTATTAATACAGCAGTTGAAAAGATTTGTGGAAGGATAAATTCTTCATGGGCTTCAATGGCTCTCTAGATAAAGGGTGTTTTATGGTTGCTTGTATTATCCTCAGATAGTGGTGTTTAAATAACTAGTGACATTTGAATAAATATTGAAAAAAATTGCTCCAAAAAAGGCATATATCCTGGCCGGCTTAACCCGTCTGTATTTCTTCAAGCACCACAAGATTCATAGTTTATGAAGTACAATTCTGGGCCATTGATTGTGTTATTTCTCCAAACACATACAGTAAACATGCCTGTTATGAAGCCTTAAAATGGTGCAGGAAAAGGACTTTACATTTGGTTATACTTAAAGACAGGACTATTCAGTTAAGAGAAGAGAAAAAAGGAAAGAAAATTGTTAGAATGGGTGATGTAACATTAATGACAGACATAATATGAGGTCCTTGGCACTCAGACTTTAGAGGGGTCATTTTGTGATCATGGGGCATCACCCTTACAGCATCAGGACAATATCATATGGAGTCAGACACTGGAAGTGTGCTGGAGGCGTTGACTGGGACTGATGGAAGGATGAGGCTGATGAGACTGAAGAATCTGCGAGGAACGAACTATCGGCTGAGAAATAATCATATATTAAAAGACAGCAGCATCATAAGAGGGCAACCATGTGACAGAGTGTGTTACTTTGCTGAAGGATATTTGTGACCAGCTATCCATTCCAGGCCAGACTCTAAAGACTTTCCAAGGTGTGAAAATGCTGCTGCCGGAGTACTGACTGGAAGTATTGCTGATATCATGTCTACCATCCTCTTAAAATACTCTGTCCAACAATATCAGTCTCAGGAAGAAATGTTTTTTAACGCTTATCAAAAGAAAAACATGCATTATTGTACTCAGGAGGGGACATTGACAGAGGATTACTGGAAAAGTACACAATAAGTACTTCATAGTACTTGTGGGGGTAGTTTCAGTAGTACTGAGTCCAACAGGATCAATCTCACGAAGAACTAATGGCAACAAAAAAGAATTCCCTCATCAAACTTAGCAGAAGTGGCTTGATTTTGTTCTCAGCAGGTGACTTTGACAGAGTATTTCTCAAAAAATACACAGTAAAAGTACTTCAATGTATTGTTAGTAGTAGGCTTACTAATACAAAGTCAAACCGTATCAATTTCATTAAGAACTAATGGTAACATATTATTTTTATCATTCATCAAAGATAGCAAAAAACATGCATTATGTACTATGGAGGGGACTCTGACAGAGGATTACTCACAAAGTACACAGCAAAGTACTTCCTTTTATTTCTGGTAGCAGTCAACTAGTACCGAGTCCAACAGTATCAGTTTTATTCAGAACGTATGGTAAAAAATATTTGTATCACTCATTGAATATAGCAGGAAAGAAAATGAAGAGCAGCTGATTGACCGAGTGCAGAATCGCTGTATAGTTTAAATCTCCTTAGTTACAATGTTGTCTATTTTAGACAAAGGCTTATTATATTTACAGCCCTAAGAACATTCATTTTCTGGGCTCAATATGTGTCTTGGCTGTTTTCGTTGTGATCGCTAAATTCAGATCGCTGGATCGCGAGAAACACCGCTGTCATCAGGCTGTTCCATTCTCTGCTCAACCTCCCGCCTTCCCAATGGACTCAGTAGTGCCCCCTGCTGCCGTGGAGCATGTGTGAGTGAGCATGTGTGTGTGGGTGTTTCTCAATCGCGAGTAAAGCTGCTTCCGAGCCACTATTTCAAGCATACTACGTCATCGAGTGCCGCCGAAGTACTGTTCCAATCTCCAGTATACTTGGAAATCTACCGAGCCCGGCGTACTCCGTTTGGAGAAATATCGAGTGTGCACATGAGTAGACTTCGCGGCCTTAAAATCCCCACAATGCTTTGCGCACGGACCAATTTCCCCAAATCACGTGACTCACTCACGTGACTTTTGGCAGTAATATTCCGCCGTGAGAAGAAAAAGTTTTGTACGTGTAAAAAAAAGTGTTGTAGTTGTAAAAACAAGATTTGTACTTGTAAAAATAAGTGTTGTAGTTGTAAAAAAAATGTGTGTACTTGTAAAACCTATGCTGAATTTGTCTCTGAAACATGATTTATTAGAAAAATGGTATGTGTTTATTTGATAGACACGTTTTTTCTTTGCAAAACTAAATGCATTAGTTTGTAGATGGTGTTTTGTATTTGCAAACCACATTGTGTTTGTTAGTGAATCATGAGGCATTAGTAAAACCTGTTTAGTTTGTTTGTGGAGTTATGGCAGGAAATTAGCTCCATAAAATGACTAACCATCATGCAACGCACTAGCAAGACGTTGATCGCAATTGCGCAGGTCTGCGCAGGTCTCGCTTGTCTCAAACAAGCCTAGTATCTGACACTACGTACAAAATAATAATGCAGTGAAATCAATTTTGTTGCTCATCTTTGACACATCCAAGACTCTAATAACCACCAAAGTTCCATCCCTCTACTAATTATTATATTGAAAAAATAATTATGTTTTGTGTTTTTTCGTAAGAAAAAATGAAATAATTCAAATAATGAAACAGGCATTTAATTTTTAATTTAAAATCCTGAAAATTATTGAATGTTTGGTAATTTTGAGTACGTTATAAGTTGTTTAAGTGATTCATGAAAAAAAAAAAGTAGAAAGAAATGTTGATGTATGATGATTTAATAGCAGTTATTATGGCCGTGTACATTTTTGCCACGAAGGGGTCGAAAGGTTGAAAATTCGAGGAGGGCACAAGGGTTAAAAGAACATTTATTTACACAAAAATTAACTAATATATTATTATTAATTAGTTTCAAAGTTTCAAGACAACAATATATTTCAAATAACAATGAATAATAATAAAATATATAAAATAATGAATATATGAACTAGTTATAGTAATTAATTACATCACATTACACTAGCTGCAAACAAATGTTATGTAAATGTTTACATTAGGTGTGTAGAATGGAGTTGAGCACATCATGCTCATATTGTTGCTCAGTGGCAGTTATGCAATGGAATGTGGAATGGTTTTATTATGTAACCTGACACGTTTAGAATCAAGACCTCACATGACAAACACAGTAGATTATTGAGAAATATTAGATGGGATCCTGATCCAGTACTCAGAATGTATACTTAAAGTGGACCTATCATGCTATATTTAAATGATATATTGTAGGCCATACCTATATAAGGTATATTTATACGTTTCTGTTTTCAAAATACCCAACAGATCATGCATTTTAGCCATGCCTCATTTCGCTCTATGTGCTGTTTGTATTTGAGTACCCCTGTACTACAGCGTCTCCAGCGCTTTCGAACAGCAATGGCCGTGGCTGTCTCCTCCTGATTGGTGGAGTTGGCCCAATAGCCGTAGCGCCACCGTCCTGACGTCAGGACAGTGTTCAAATCTGGATCAGTTTTTATCAGATCCGTTGCAGCCCCTTTTTTAGAGATTTGGGTATGGAGGAAAATAGAGAGGGCTGTGTTTTCTGACACTTGGTGAGTTCCCTGGAACACCGGGGACACATATTCATGTAGAAAAGACGTACAAAAGTGCATTTTGCATGATAGGTCCCCTTTAAGTAAAAGAAGCAATACGAAATTGCGTAAACACTGTTACAAGTAAAAGTCCTCCATTTAAAATGTTATTCAAGTACAAAAACATTGACATCTAAATAAAATGATAAGGGCATCACAAGTAAAAGTACTTGTTATGAGTAATGGCCCATTTTAAATTCCTGTATTATGGATTATGAATGCATTAACAGGCCTATCATAGCTGTTGAAGGTTGAGTTCATTTTAATTACTTTGTATACTACTGCTCTTAAACTATATTATATGTATGTATTCGTTTAGTTTTACTTTGTATTATCTGATCATCTGAAGTAACTAGTAACTAAAGTTGTCAAATGAAGGTACTGCTCTAAAAAGTACAATATCGTCTTCAGAATGCAATGGAGTACATGCCCTTTCTACCACTGTCAATATTAGTGCAACGGGTCATTTCAACATGTCCTCATCATGCTCCTCAGGCCTTTATAGTAACCATTTCACTTAGTGTAATACTCTGTCAGTACTGTACTCAAGTGCACATTTAAGATGCGATCTGAGTTTTTTCATTTATATTTCTACTCAACTACATCATAAAGGGGAACATACCTTTTACTACACTACATTTCTGACAGCTTAGATACTTTAGTGCCAATCCAGTGAAATCAATGTGCAGTATTGGTTCAGTTACAGCTGAACCAATATCCTTAGAAGTTCTACAGAGCAGTACCAATTTCTTTAAGTAACATTATGAGGGCAATCAAAAGACAAAACACTGTTATCAAAAATGTTATTATTTACAAGTGGTTTAACAAATACAAAGATTAGTATTAGTATGGTAAATACAAACATTAAGAAAATACATTGTAAACAAAATTTGGAATGTATTTGGTCTTTTGGGGTTTGGTAACGTGTTAGAAAAATTGAAAAATAAGAAAAGCAGGCTGTGTATTTTTTGGTGTTTGCTAATTTTCAGAGCTCAACATAAAATATCGAAATGTGATCCCAAGCGCAACAACTAATGATGCAAACAATAATACTGATAGTATGACTATGTAATGGTTTCTTGAAGAATCTCCACAGACAACATCGGTGCTCCTGCTTCCTTCTTTCAGCGTTGCCTGGGTTCCTGAGCACCTGGGAAAAGAGAAGAGAAATGAAAAACAGATTCAGTACTTTGTGTTTGAAATGAAACTTGAAAAAGATATACAATACCGTGCAAAAGTTTTAGGCAGGTGTGAAAAAATGCTGTAAACTAAGAATGCTTTCAAAAATATGAATTATAAATGTTTATTTGTTATAAATTTACAAAATGCAAAGTGAACGAACAAAAGAAAAATCGAAATCATATCAATATTTGGTTTTACTACACTTTGCTTTCAAACCAGCATCAATTCCTACAGGTACTCTTACAAAGTCCGGGATTTTGTAGGATTAGTCAGGGATTATAGTCCCTGATCAACCAATTATACCAAACAGGGGCTAATGATCATCAGTTTTACATGTAGGTTTAAACACAGTCATTCAATGAAACAGAAAGAGCTTTGTAGGAGGCTTAAAACTGGGTGAGGAACAGCCAAACTCTGCTACCAAGGTGAGTTTGTGGAAGACAGCCAAAAATACATACCTCCGACATGGAAACAAGGCCAAGCGACTCAACTATGCTGGAAAACATAGGAACTGTGATGCAGATCAATGGCAACTTGTGCTCTCGACTGATTGAAATAATTGTCTACACAAAAGGGCTGGCGGATATGTATTCTGCACAGGGCCGCCCCTGGCCAACTTGGGGCCCCAAGCGACATTGAGAGATGAGAGATGAGCCCCCCACCCCACCAACAGGAGTGAAACCTTTTTTTTTGGAAACAAAGTGCTTTGCAAATATAATTCCTGTTTATTATTGTTATCAACAGTTACTTTTTTATACAGTGAGATAAATGGTAAATGTGCATGTATGTCGTTCAGTATGCGTTTACAGGTGAATACGTCTGCATTTCCTGCCAAATACTAGCCTCAAAAAGATTAAAATATAATTAATGCAAATAAACTACTTCTACTAATAATAATTATAATCATAATATAAATACTATATTATTTTATTATAATATAGTTGTAATATAGTTAAGACAAAACATGCTTATGACATGCTCAAAAACTGATATTTCTTAAATATGTATTCAAATGTGGTTCCGTCTGTCAGCAATGTAACAACTACACACACATTTCTAACAGTATTTCTCTGTGTTGTGGTTGACATGACTGTTAGGAGTTAAGGGGAGAGGCTGAGCATCACCATGAAATCTGCAAATTGACATAAAAATGAATAAAAGGGGGAAAAAATGCTCCATGTTTTTTAGGCTGTAAACTTTAACTGTTATTTAAGCCAACTAGACAGACCGTGTATCACTCTCCCTCCTGTACATTAGCAGATAAAAGGCATCAAATACTTGAATGAATGGTAAATAAAGAATGCTGGAAATAACTGCATTTCCATTAGCCAATATGCTATGCAGAGACTGCCTTCTTCATGTCGTGAATTGCAGCTGATGTTTTAATATGGCAATTGGCAAAAGTTTGACATTTGACTTATACAACAACCCATCTTCGAGTGATGCTCTAGTTTCTTCATGTTTTGTTTTTTTTCCCCCTTGCTTGCGCCGGACTGAAACTGTCTCTTCACCTGCACTAGTGGCCGTATCAAAGCCGTGATTGGTCAGATGTCGATTCATTGCAACGGTGTCGGTTACAGACGTGCTTCCCTCGTCACCTCTCACTCTCACGTGTCAGCGGGGGGGGGGGGGGGGAGGATTTTTTTGTATTATATTGAAGTTAAAAAACATCAATCTGGTGCACTTTGAGAGCAACATGAAGAGATCTATGGATACATCTCTCAACACCCATATGAAACAGAACTGTAAACAGATTTACTTTTTGGATATTTTACAAATCACTCTCCTTTTAAACTCTATTCTTGTTTTACTGTCATATAGTATTTTATACCTGTTTTTCATTTATTACTCTTATATTATTATATCTGACATCAAATAAACATAAAGTTCACCGTTTATTTATAATAGCGCGGAGAACTGCGCTGAGAGCTGCGCACGAGCCGAGCTCATAAACCGAGGCCCCCATGCGCAATGTGAGGCCCCATGCAGCCTGCATGATCGGCCTGTAGGGAGGGACGGCCCTGAGCAGCAGGACAACGACCCAAAACATACAGCCAATGTCATTAAGAACTATCTTCAGCATTAAGAAGAACAGAAAGTCCTGGAAGTGGTGGTATGGCCTCCACAGAGCCCTGATCTCAACATCATCAAGTCTGTCTGGGATGACATGATGAGACAGAGGGAAGCCTATCCACAAAAGATCTGCGGTTAGTTCTCCAAGATGTTTGTAACAACCTACCAGCGGAGTTCCTTCAAAAACTGTGTGCAAATATACCTAGAAAAATGTATGTTGTTTTAGGCAGTTGTGAAAGTGTGGTCACACCAAATATTGATTTGATTTAGAATTTGTTCACACCTGCCTAAAACTTTGACACAGTACTTTATACTTTATAATGATGTTAAAAGTACAGAGAAGGACACTGATTCAAAACAAATCAATATTAAAATGCAAACATTTGGAAAAGGTATATTGAGAGTTATGTTTTGTGACCAAATCAAATAAAACTGGAGGATTGGCAATGTTTGAATCTCCTGTGGATGGGAAAGATTGGTCCATCACACATACAGATAAAGCCACAAATCACAACTTTTTTTGAGCAAATATTGCAGAAACAAAGTGGCCATTTCATGGTGCAGGGCAGGAAGAACCCTACTTGTTTTAGTAATGCCATAACAAACAAAGCCTTACGTTGTCCAGTCCGTGCAATTCACACCACGCTCTGAAAAGAAGCCAGACTGACAAAGCTCACACTGTGCATCCACTCTGCTGGTTCCTTAGAGAGAGGCACACAGGAGAGATTAGTCACACAGCAGCCAACATCCAGTAATGATCCATCATCACATCAGTGTCTTCATTTTGTGTTTTTACATTCACACTGCAGGAGATCAGTCCTCACTGTCTAAAAGTTAATTCAGGAAATTAATACAGTACATCTCCAGTCATAATTTTAAGATGAGAGTAATTTAAAGGTTATCTTTCAGGATGGTTACTGAAATGTACGAGGAGGTCATCATATCTGTTTCAGAAACCCTCATGTGATAGCTGCAGGACTCATAATGAAACTGGGAGGGGTTCCTGTTTACTGCCTGTCATGTGAGCTTCTGCACCTCGGGTTATAGTCCAGTCAAAAGTCTGATCAAAAGTTAAAGGGGACCTATCATGCAAAATGCACTTTTAATGTCCTTTATACATAAATATGTCCCCGGTGTGTCAGGGAACTCACAAAGTGTCAGAAATTAAAACCCTCTCTCTTTCCCTCCGTACCCACATCTCTAAAAACGGGGGTACAACGGAGCTGATCCAGATTTGCTGCTGATATGACAAATGTCATGTCATGGAAATGTGGACCCACGGCCCTATCAGAAACGTTGCTATCAGAAACAATGCCCGACGTCTTTTGGACGTAATATGTCTTTGTTTACAATAGCAAGCATCGCTAACACTCAGAGCTAAACTGTACTGGAGAGAGCATGTGTAAAAAAGCAGGAAATATAAAAATAAGAACTCCCCTTGTGGTAAACCCGCAAGAGAAAAAGCATTTGAGCTCCATACTGTTTCAGAAATAATGCTTGATGTGGTTTGGAACAGGATATGGCATTTAATCACGGCAGCATTTAGCTGTATCTGCCGGTAGAATTCTGAGCAGGCATAAGCTCCCCCTCCTCTTTTTTTTTTTCAAGCTAAGGACCCAGATCAGCCATTCTCTCACAGGGCTGGAATAGAGGGGTATGAGGGATGTCTAAAATGGATGATCTGTTGGTATTTTGAGCAAAACCCATCATAGACATGTTTTTTATATACCCCAGACCCATAATATATGCCTAAAAATAGCATAATAGGAGACCTTTAAGATCAACTTTTATTAACCCCAGAGGGGGAAATTTAGTTTTGCACTGGTGTTAGTTTAGAAAAACACACACCCGATTTACACACACCTATAGACAGGCACTAATGAAGAGCCGGGGGGGAAATGGGGATTCAGGCGGTGTTAACACGAGAACGAAACGGGTTGTATCTGCTACTTTTCTCTCGCGTATATAGCCCGTTCGTTCACACGAGGCCGTAACGGAACCGCGGAAACGATAACGGGTCCCAAGGTGGATAGATCTGCGGACGGAACGCTCTGGGGGGCAAAACGGCTCCGTGTGTACGTCCTATACGATCATTTCCTGATAACGATGAAGCCATAGCCCCATCTCTGCTGCTCACTGCAGTAGCACTACACGCCCATGCTACAGATGTTAGTGCAACATCTACAGCTCCTCTACCACAACCATCAGCAACAAGTGGACATGGAGAATTACATGAACTACATGTTGCTAAATCCACCGCGGGGCATAAACAGAAGGGCAACCATGGCAACCATGCTCGGGGGTCTTCTTTGCTGCTTTTGGTGTATTTTGTGGCGAAAGTACAGCGCCACTCATGCCCCTTTCACACCGGCGCTTTTCCAGCTCCTGCTCGGAGCTGGAGCTGGAAAAGCGCCGGTTTTTCCTGTTCACACCGCAGCGGCGGCGCGTCATAGCTCCGGAATGCGGTTCACTTCCAGCTCCAAAAAATTGTCGGTCCAGAGGCAAGAGCTTCGGAGCTAGAGGCGGCGTCGCTTACGTCTCTCTTACGTCGAGGCGTGCAGGAAACCTTACTTTGACCATCCGTTCGCTGTTATTGATCATTGTGGAGAGCAGGCAGACGTTTTGTTTGTTATTATAGCAGCTATCGGATGGAATTAATACATGGGCTGTACAGGTTGTCATGTCCGACTATCACAAGTAGAATCATAATGTAAAATGTGCCTGTAGAAAACGGCTTAGCAAGTAGTCAGTTTAGCTTCGGTTGCTATGCTAACATCACCCATGTTATACCAGAGAAACTTTCATAACAGCGTTGTGATGCCAAACAGCGTCAATTCAGACTGACACACATTCACTTAAGGGGAACTGGGGATATGTATCAGCTGCTTGTGTGACAGTCAGACAGTGAATACTTTAGAGCCGTGTGAGCTAACCCGGAGCTAACGGGAGAATAAACTCCCGTGGAAGAGCAGCCAGCACTGCAGCGGTCGGTAAATGCCGCTGAAACACATTAATAAACAATGAACCACGGCACTCTGGAGAAAAGTATAAGGTTGGAGAAGTCGTTATTTAATTTAATCTGGCTTCGTATGATTAAAAGCAACACGATCATCGACCCGACGCAGTCCCCGGCCCGTTGTTGTTGTGGGAAAAAATCAGCGACGTAAACTGTGACGTCATGACGCAGCAGCGGCAGCTCTGGGCGATGTGAACAGAGCGGGAGCTGAAAAGGGAAACCGGAGCTGAACCAGAAAAGCTCTCGCTAAGAGCTAGAAAGGGAAAAGCGCTGGTGTGAAAGCCGCATTACAGGCCCGGCATATGTACTACAGCGTCTCCAGCACTTTCGAGCGGTCTCCTGCGGAAGTACAGCGCCACTTACAGGCCCGGCATATGTACTACAGCGTTTCCAGTGGTCTCGTGTGAACGGACACGTTAAATCAGGGGTGCCCAATACGTCGATCGATCGCAAAGGTAGTGTGGGTAGATCGCATGGCATTGAAAAAAAAAATAAGGAAAAGAAAAACATTTTTTAAAGTTAGTCTATCATCCATCCTTACTATGGCATTTGCCACTTGATTGACGTACAGGTAAGCCAGTCTGAGGTGTATTGTGCCATACGGGTTCATGCAGTTATGAGGGGGCCTCACCTCCTCATCTGAAGCGCTTATGCGGCGCACTATTATGCGGTGCACTATTATGCGGTGCACTATTATGCGGCGCACTATTATGCGCTTATGCGGCGCAATTAGTGTAAGCGCGCCACAGTTTATCCGCGGTTTAGTCCCCCCCGCGCGCTCGCGACACGGATTGGGCAGGGGCGGCCCTGTAGGTAGATCTTTTGGGCTTGGTCATTTTAAAAGTAGCTCCCAAGCTGAAAAAGTGTGGGCACCCCTGCGTTAAATGAACCGAATGCGTGTGAACGGAATACTTTTTTGATAACGAATTCGGTCCGTTTGCGTTTGCGCTCCCGCGTAAATGGGGTCTCAGTGGCTCGAGGACACCTCTGCAGTGCCCAGGAGGCTGTTGGCACCTCTCACCCTTTGCCAAGTCCCTACAGACTGAGCTACCCCATGACTATGAGAAAAACCAGGACAAGCCTCAGACCAGGACTTCAGTGTGCATGTAAACTGTCACTGTCAGGAGAGTGTGACCTGTATTTTACTTACCAGGTTCTTTTATCTTCTCACCAGGTTCACATTGTGTATGTTTTTGTGCCGCACTGCATCCTGTCACATCTAAATCTTTGCAGAAATACCCATCTATAACTTCACAGACTGCGTCAGTTGTTTCTGAACAGCCCTGCAGGACAAAGAGACCGTGGCCTAAAGAAACAAACAGATTGAAACAGTCAATGTATGCAAACCTAAATAATGATAAAGAAAATAGGATTATGTGTAGGGTTGGGAACCGAAACTCGGTTCCAGATGAGAACCGATAAGAAAATGCCGGGTACCGGGTACCCATACAAAATACACAATTTCGGTTCTGCTTAACGGTTCCTAAACGCGGTAGACCCTGTATTCCACCAGGTCCGTCTGCGCCACGGTGACCCGGTGGAATACAGGGTAAGGGCGGATTGGCCATCTGTGTGTTCTGGAGAATCACAGAACGGCCGGTCGTAGGGCTGTGCGATTATGGCAAAAATCATAATCACGATTATTTTGGTCAATAATTGATATCACGATTATTAAAAACGATTATCCATTTACTTTGAAAACATCCATATATTGAAAAAAAATTTGAACAGTATGTTTTTAACAGTTGATTACCCTGAACTTTAAGTATAATTCAACAGAAAAAAAAAGAAAAAAAAAAAGAAGAAATTACATTTTTTTATTTTGTTTTTAATAAAAATAATAATCGTTTTATTTCGATTACATTGTTTTCGTAATCGTTGCAAGCCAAAATCGTAATCGAGATTAAAATACGATTAATTGCACAGCCCTAGCCGGTCGTCAGCGGGCCGTTGACGGCCGGCTCGGTACGCTGACGGCCGGCACCGCGCTTAATTTTTTAAAACGGCATCATGTAAATTGCGCTGACAGGCGACAGAGGTCCACAGTTTCCCCGCAGTGAGGCTCCCCCCGCCCTCCCGTAGACAGCTCACGAGCTCAGTCACTTCATAAGACCAAAGATGGATTGCGGTAAACGCTCTAAAGTGAGGCTCCACTACACTAAAAAAGAAAAAGACAAGGAGTGTAATGCCTGTTAATAGCTTGCCACAGGCATAGCTCAGTTAAAATAAAGCACAGCTATTGTGCAATACATTTGTATTGCATGTATATTTTTTATTTGTAAAAATGTCAGTTAAAGCTTAAAAGAATAAAGATATTTTTGTTATCTAAACGTTTGACCTCTTTCTTTTACAATTTTGGAATCGAAACAGGGAATCGATAAGAACCGGAATCGATAAGCAGAACCGGAATCGGAATCGATACATTTCAAACGATACCCATCCCTAATTATGTGCCAATATAAATACAACCAATACATCTTAAATACTCAGAGAATTGTTGGTGGAATATGATAGACGTCTTGGTTACATATAAAAGCCTGTCAGTTTTCAGTTCAGTCATTTATCACCGAGAGACAGTTTATGAAAATACAGTGTAATGAAACATTTAATGGACTTGGAGTTTAAAAAAAATATTATTTAAATTAAGTCTTAATTCATTATTATGGGTATATATTAAATATAACTTTTAATTTAACACTGTAGAACTCTCTTCACCCTTGCATAACCAATGTAGCAGCTGCTTGTTGACAACATCTAACTTAACCACACCACCCCCCTCCCTCCTTTCTCCCCGCTCCACATGTGAAGAGACCTGAAGCAGATCTGACCTGCATTGATGTTATGCATTTCCCTCATTTACTCAGCATAGAGATAAGCATATGCTTACATAAATGTTTATTTGCACATATATTTACATTTGGAACACAGTAGGCATCAGTTCTGTTGTGTGATAGTTGCATTCATTATTCATTCACACATTATAGACATACCTGAGCCACAGGAGGTGCATGAGAGACATTTATCCAGTCCGTTGGGTTCGTTCATAAAAGTCCCGTTTTTACAGCGGCTGCAGCGTGTGCCTGACTGTGACGTGCAGTCTCTCGAAACAATGGTTCCTGTTCAACAACCAAACACTCTGTCAGCATCTCAACATCAAGACATGAAGGCAAATTACAATTACAAAATGAAGATTAGAGTCAGTAACAATATGTTCATCCCGTTTCAGGTCTTTGATGGAGCACTTCAGGGAGCAAAGCCAACTTCAGCTTTGGAAATCCCAGTTCAATTCATCATTTAAAAAGCTCTCACTGACCTGATGTTTGAATACTTTCATAGACAGAGATGTAATGTACCTTCACTGCACATAGGACAACATTGCCCAGCTCTTGTAGAATATTCCTTAGGACGACAGCAGAGCCCTTGTGCCAAGAAGGACGCACACCCTGTTGAGAAACAGCAGTTCAGTGTTAAGTAGTAGTCTGCGCAGTACATTCACATAATAGTGATGTGCCAGATAAGACATTGCAATGTATCCTTTACTTTGAATTTATACCTTCATATTTACAGTCTCTGGTTGATGCATGTTAATGCATTTAATCGTTCGAGTTTTGATACTTTTCGCGCTTTTACTTTTTATAATACACCAAATAGTTTTATAGTACGCCATTGAATAATTTTTTTGAATATTTCTTGAAAACTATATTCTACATTTTACAGTGTATTGCAACCAAAATCCTTTCATACATCAAGGGTTTCCTGCAGGCTGAACTACATCAATGTTTTGTAGAAAGATGCATTGAATAATCCTGGTGAATTTCCCTTGTTAAAAATATTGAATATCTGTCCAAGTATGCAATATGGTTCTTCCAAAACCACTTCACGTAATAATGTCAATCTGTTTGTTATACTACAAGACTTCAAAGTGAAGAAATATTTTGGGTAATTTTTTATTGTGTCAATTCTACCAAAATGACTTCACACATTAATTGTCACATTAATTAAGCTACAACACTTATTTGTTTAAAATAAATTATTTTAAGGATCCTAATGTTCCTGGTAAAAAGTATATTGACACCAAGATCAGTGTTTCAACGGAGCCCCACGCCCCCCCTGAAATACAAGGTGTTTTTTTATTTTATATATATATATATATATATATATATATATATATATATATATATATATATATATATATATATATATATATATATATATATATATATATATAGCACCAAATTGCAACTGAAGTAATCCATCTACGGTCACTTTCCCATTGAACATGTGTTCTTTTATTAAATAAACTAAACACTTATGTTATGTATCCAATTGATGTGCATTTTTCAGTGTCTGACTTGTTTATTTTCTGCAGATTTGACTCAGATAACGACTGACTTTCATTTTAAGATGTGAGTTTAGTGTGTTTGACCCAAAATAACACTGATGCATTAATCAATAACAATAATCCACAGCTCTTCTCTCTGCTGCAGAGGATTGAAAAAAATATATACCACGCCCCCCTATCAGTCAAATAATTCATAAATATATTTCCCCTAAAGTATGTGTGTATAAGCAGCAGGGACCCATTCATGTGTGATGTGATGTTATTAGCAAACTTTCTTCCTCAGATCCCTCAGATCTGGATCAGTTCCCCCCTCTCTCAAACTGGCTGCCATCACACCCATTCTCAAAAGACCTGGACTCACACCCGACATCATGTCCAACTTCCGACCCGTCAAAAATACTTGAATGTGTCATCGCCTCACAACTAGAATCCCACCTCAGCTCCAATGACCTCTTTGAGCCATTTCAATCCGGTTTCCGATCAAAACACAGCACCGAAACAGCTCTTCTCAAAATCACAAACGACCTCCTCCTCTCCTCTGACTCGGGCAACCTGAACATCCTCATCCTCCTCGACCTCACCGCAGCATTCGACATCATCAACCACACCATCCTGCTGTCCCTCCTCGAATCATCAGTCAACATCACCGACACTGCACTCTCCTGGCTGAATTCCTACCTCACCGACAGACATCAGTTTATCAACATCAACAACTGCACCTCCTCCACTGCTCCTCTGTACCAAGGCGTCCCCCAGGGTTTGGTGCTTGGCCCCCTCCTCTTCATTCTCTACATGCTCCCCCTTGGCAAAATAATTAGTCGCCATAACCTTCAATTTCACTGCTACGCCGATGACATCGAACTTTATATCTCATCAAAAACCATCACCCCCACAACACACTCCACTAGGGATGCTCCGATCGATCGGCCGCTGATGTTATCGGCCAATATTCACTCTCGGCCGATCGATCGGTGCTCTCTATAAAGGCCGATCAGGAGAGCCGATCACATGACGTAAAATACATGACACTTTTCTCTGTGCGCGGCAAAACAAGCTCGCCAAAATAGCTTCACCGGTCTGGCAGTATTTTAAGGTGTCCGAAAAAGACAGTAAAATAGCGGTATGCAACGTGTGTGAAGCAGAAATCCTGCAGCTCCACCCACTGTGACAGACGGACGGACGGGGGAGCAAAACACACACTAAGAGTTAGACCTAACACACTTAGCTATTTTATCTACCTCTGGAACAAGCTAAACTAGTTATAAATATATTTATTCTTCACTGTCGGGTCACTCATTACTGGATCAGTGAGCTGCATGAGACGATGCTGACAGGCTGTCAGGAGAGAGAGAGGAAAAGAGAGCACTTCCGCTCATTTCTCCCGTGTTATTATCCAAAGTTAATGTAAACTTGAATAATGTACTTCATTTGAATGTAATAATTATGTTGGTTGTTGTTTGTGGAAGCGCATCATGTATTGAAAAATTAATCTGAATTAACAATTATAAACTGAAGCAATAGAAAAATGAGCCCCATTTACTGAGTTTTAAACATCACTTTGAATGGAAGATCCCCATAGCCCCCACCCACCTGATCCGATCGGTATCGGCCGATACTGATTCCGGCGATCGGCCCCAAAATTGGCAATCGGAGCATCACTACACTCCACTCTCACCAACTGTCTCTCAGAAATAAAAGCAAACAAACTATCTCCAACTGAACAGTGCCAAATCAGACATCATCTTCATCGGCCCCCCATCCCATACCAAAGCCATCCAGAATTTCAACTTCACCATTGACAGCAACATTCTATCCACCCCCCCCTCACATCCGCAACCTCGGAGACATCTTCGACAGTCAGCTCAAATTCAATCACCACATCAATCACATCACCAGGACTGCCTTTTTCCACCTCAAAAACATTGCCCGTCTCCGCCCATCACTCTCCTCCTCTGCTGCTGAAACCCTGATTCATGCATTCATCACATCACGACTCGACTATTGCAATAGCATCCTACGGTATACCATCCAACCTCCTCAATAAACTACAACATATCCAGAACTCTGCTGCCTGCCTCCTCACCCACACCCGCTCCCGAGACCACATCACTCCCGTCCTCCAGAACCTCCACTGGCTCCCCGTCCGTCAAAGAATCAACTTCAAAGTCCTCCTCATTACTCACAAAGCCCTCAACAACCAGGCCCCCCACTACCTCACAGACCTGCTGCACCACCACACCCCTTCCCGCTGCCTCCGCTCATCAGAAGCCAACCTCCTATCCAGCCCCACCCGCATCAAGCACCGGACCTGGGGGGACAGAGCCTTCTTCGTCGCTGCCCCCTCCCTCTGGAACTCACTCCCACAACCCATCAGACTGCACTGACCTCACCACCAGGGGCGTTTCCTGGACCTGGAAACATTCGGGGCTTAGCCCACAGTGGCGGCGCCAGAGATTTTCTTTTGCGGGTGCTGTGGGGTAGCTTGATGTTTCATAGAGGGTGCTCAAACATGTAGGGTTTCCCATTAAGGTACCGGGCGCTACAGTGGAATGTTCTACTGCAACACTCCCCACACGCACATACACAGTATACCCGTGACTGTTACAATGAAGGCTCGATAATCAGCTCACGGCATATAGGTGTAAAGGGTTACAGTGGGGGGCGGACCTAACATCCTCTAGGGGGGGTCCTCACCTCCTCTATGGGGGTCCGGGGGCATGCTCCCCCATCCGGGGGCAATCCTGCCATCCACTCTAGTGTCATGATGAGGTTCAGGTAAAGCACGGTTAATGTATTATATTATTGAGGGAGAATTGTCCGGGGATACAGAAAAAAACTCACCTCTTCAATCTGGCTTTTAATGTGTGATTGTTGTTGTATTGCTTGATTTTAAATTTGACTTCAACTAGCCTATATTTATTTGTTGTTATTTTCTTTTCACTATCTCTGTAAAGCAACTTTGAGCACCTGTAAAAGCGCTTACAAAATAAATCTATTATTATTATAACTGAAGTTATTGAATATGTTGTACAATAAAAAAAGAATAATGAATATTGTTCTTTAAATTCACTACATTTATTTTAACCCTCACAGTTACTTTGTACATACACAAACAGACACGCATTTGATGATATAGTTATATGCAGTACTGTATTAGTAATCTACACAGTATTTAAAGGTGGGGTAGGTAAGTTTGAGAAACCGGTTCGAGATACACTTTCTGTTATATTCCATGGAATGCTCTTAACATCCCGATAGCAATGAATATCTTAAGTGCTTTGACAAAAAAATCCATAAAAAAATGTCATCTGTGGAAGCCGTAGTACTGTAAAAAGCACGACCAATCATTTTAGCCGGCCCGGCTAAAATAACTGGATGGCCTACCTGCCTGTCAGCCTTCCATCTGTGCACAGACTTATCTCGTGCCCTCATTGGTCATGTGCGCGTTCGTGTGTGTTGGAGGAGGGGCTCTGTAAGGAAGTGGCAGATTTTTTCGGGCTGTATTTTCAAATTTTAGCTGGTTTCTCCAAAATTACCTACCCCACCTTTAATGTATCCAAATGCAGCTAGTTTTAATGACTGCAAGGTAGCTTGTGAATTTACTCCAGGTGTAACTCAAGTCTGATTATATATTTCACATCATTAATCCAAATCTGTAAAGTAACTAAAAAGGTATTAAATACATGTAGTGGAGTACACAAAAAACACCGTTTACCTCTAAACTGTAGTGGGGTAGAAGTACAAAGTAGCTACAAAATGAAGTACAAAATTCAACTGAAGTAAAGTACTTGAGTAAATGTACTTATTTACTTTTGACCCCTGGTAGTAGTGTAAGCATTGGGTTGAGAGGTCATGTGTTGTGAGCATGCGCAGTCTCAGTTCCTGAGTTTTTGTTACACAGAAGCCTCTTGAAACCTCGGACGTTACAGTAGTGCAGGGGTATTCAACTAAAATTCAACGAGGTCCAGTTAGAGAAAATCTCCCCATGCAAAGGTCCGGAACATCAAAATGTCTAACTTGCTTTATGAATTAGTGTGATATATATTGAAGTAGCCTGTAGCTTTATCAACGTCTGCATGTAACAACTTTTAAAAATAAAATAGAGAAAATAAATAAAATAGCTTTTGAAAATATGTGCATCTTAAAAGTGCTTCATTTTAGATAAATAAAATAAAGTGTAGCAGCAGCTTGAGTTTCCCTTTTTCTTTGTTAACCGTTTCACATCATGACTTAACAGTTTCAGACGATTATAGAACAATATCAGTCTTTACACATCATAACAATTGAACAGTTTTAAAGTTTCTCTTTCTTTCCCTCTTATATTGCAGTCCCTCACTCACTTTTTTTTAATTCAGTGCAAGAATTGAGCTCGAGCTTGTCCTGCCAGGAGTTTGTAAATCTGGGCTGAAATGGTGTCAGGGCCATTCTCATACACATGCAGGTGCTCATTGGTTAGCCTCGGTTAGCCTGCCCTGGAACGATATTTAGTTTTAATTTTGATCCTGGCCGACTGATCATATTGGGCTCTGAGACTGCTTATTTTTTGTGACCTCCGTTGTGACTTGAGAGGGAATGTTTGGTCAAACACTTTGAGTTTTGGCACTTTTAATGAGCGCCACGGTCTCTGAACAAATGAGACACACTGGCTCTGTGCTCCCAGTGGGCAGGACGGACATGAATGAATCCGTCCACTCAGGATTACAAGCTCTGTTCTCACTGTCCACTTTCCTCTTCTTGGAGAGCGCCATGTGTAATTATTTGTCTCTCCCTGTCTGCATCTAACACGCCTGTTCACTCTCCTCTCCGTCTTCTCTCCCTGTATCGCTATCGCTAATTATTCTCTTCACTCACTCTCTCCTCTCCGCTTCTTTCTGCCGCGCTCTCAATTTTCTTCTTCTGTGTTTCTCTCCCTGTATCGCTCACTCGTCTCTTTCGCCCCCTGTCGGCGGCGGTTAAAATAGAATCGCCCCGTCAAAATTGAAATCCCCTATTAATGTATTGATTATAGGTCCGGGTCCGTATAGGTCGGCGTCTGGGTCCGGATCCGGACCGCGGTCCGCCTGTTGCCGACCCCTGCAGTAGTGGTACCGCGTCTAGTTTGAGTCACGGGAGTAAAGACAAATGAAGCCGTTGAAGTTTGAATCTCCGCTTCCCGTGTGAAGGCACCATAATGTAGTAGTGCGACGTCGTGTATCAGATGTTTTGATAAAAACACTACATTGCTCTGGTTGGAAAGTAACGTTGTTAGTATTTTTAACGTTTTGTTTATGGGTTATTGATCCGTCTAGCTCGAATATGTCAGTATCTTTCTTACTTTAACAAACTAATACAGTTAGCTTTGCCAAGGTGAACCCTGTAAGATACTCACCGAGGACCACAAACACTGCGAGCATCGTAACGCATGACTATCTATCTCAATCCGGAATTCCCCTTCTTCTTCTTTTTCTCTCGGTTTTTGCAATATGGTCGAGCGGCGGCAAATACACGACACGCCCCCTACACGACACGCCCACCTGACACGACACTGCGGTGGCTGAGAGACATTCTCTCTTCTTCTTCTCTTTGTTTTTTGGCGGATTGCAAACAACTTAAAAGGTGCATACCGCCACCTACTGTACATGAGTATGAATCATCATATCATACCAACTCTTTAACCTCTGATCTAATCAAAATAAATAAATAAATCAACAAAAAACAAAAAACAAAACATGAAATAAATAAAACAAAAATAAAAATCTATGTTCTTTCTTGACCTAATGTTAAATTCTTTTTCCTACCCCAGTTTCACTCAAGAATGTAAACAGTGCCTTTCTGGTAGCTCTTACTCCCTCTCCTTTTGTTCCCAAAATACCAACCACACTCCATTCCCTCTCTGCCTCTAAAACTTTAGCCTTTAGTTTTTCTCTTTCCGCTTTATATATGTCACAATGTATCAAGATATGTTCTACATCTTCTTTTACTCCACAGTTCCCACACTTGTCACTGTCACTTTTCCCCATGACATACAGCGTACCATTCAATGCTGTGTGATTTATTCTGAGCCTAGCTATCATGATTTCCTCCCTTCTGTTTCTTTCTTTATAAATATGAATTGTAATTGTCTTTTGTACTTTGTGATATTCTTTGCCTTTCTGGTCTCCATCCCTTTCTTCTTAATTACTGCTTTTCCTTCTCCTTTTCCAAGTTGAACTGGTAATGTTATTTCCTTTTGTAGTGCACTTTTTGCTAATTTATCAGCACACTCGTTCCCTTTCACCCCCTCATGTGCAGGCACCCAGCAGAACTGCAGATCTATGCCGCCTCTGTGCAATCTTAACAGGCTATGATTCAGTTCTATGAGAATGTCTTCTCTGGCAGTTGTTGTTGATTGTATGCTTTGTAATATGGACAATGAATCTGTGCACATCACCACCCTATCTGGTCTGACCTCTTCAACCCACTGTAATCCTATTATTACTGCCAGCATTTCTGCTGTGTACACTGATAATTGATCAGACGCTCTTTTTGAAATAGATATTTTAAATTCTGGGATGTATATACCAATTCCAACACACTCTTCCTTGTTCTTAGAACCATCTGTGTAAATTTGTAGGCAATTGTAATACTTTTCATTCAGATACATACTTGTTTTAATTCCCACTTCATTTACTTGCCACTCTTTTTTCCTTTCTACAATACTCATATCTATTTTAGCTTCTGGGAAAAGCCATGGGGGAACGCTGCTAAATGGGGTTGCTTTGGCAAACGTGATATTGTCCACTCCATATGCCCTAGTTCTCTCCTTACTCGTCCAGCCAAACCCACGTCCCTGGAATTTTGCATATTCCCAGCAATCCTGTAATATTCTGTTTGAAATATTTCCTTCTCCACTTCCTTGTAGCCTGACCCAGTATGACAGAGCAAGTTTCTCTCTTCTGATCTCCAGAGGTGTCTCTCCTGCTTCTATCAGAACTGCATTGATAGGGGATGACTTTATCGCTCCAATACACAACCGCAATGCTTTATATTGTATTCTATCAATTTTTAAAAGCGATGTTTTTGCTGCTGCTCCATACACTATACAACCATAATCTATTGTGGACCTCATAATTGATCTGTAAATGTCTATTAATGCTTGTTTGTCTGCGCCCCAGTTGCATCCAGCTACAGCTCGCAATAAATTTAATACTTTTTTGCATTTTGTTTCCACTTGTTTAATATGCATTTTCCATGTATATTTGCTATCAAACCACAGTCCTAGGTATTTGAACTCATTCACCTTTGTCATTGGACGATCATATAGTGTTAGCTGTTGGCCATCAATCTTGCGTTTGTTTGTGAATACCATGTAGCATGGTTGAGAGACATTACCGTACATGGCAGATTAAAAGCGAATTGACGACACTACACGACACGCCCACCTGACACGACACTACGGTGGCTGAGAGATCGTACATGGCAGATTAAAAACGAATTGCAAATGTTATTGTAGCATTTTAAGCAACTATTAGGCAAATAAATTAATAACCTAGTCTATCCGTTTGAGACACAACAGTATAACTTTCAACCCAAATCATTTTGTCAAACGGTGGTTTAGTAAACTTTTTTTTAATATATAAAATAGGTATTAATGAGATAATCTATTTATGTTTGTCTAACTGCTACACATGTATTTATACATAAATGTAGATATTTGTGAACATCTAAATATAGTTGTTAAAGGTTTTAAGATATACATAATCACATCATGGGGTCATTAAGGACCAAATTAGGAGGGCCAGTCAGGCCACTAATGAGCTCAATCATTCACATGTATTATTATTACTTTATAAATTAAAAGTACTAGGGGTCTATTACAAAACCTTTGAAGGAATCGTCATGCATTCTGAATGTTTCTGTACTTTAAAAACATCATGGCTCAAGATCCTGTTCTTGTTCAAGATTATTCATACTCATTTGTGAATTTAACATCCATATTCACTCAAAACTGAAACAACACCAACATTTTTTTTTAAAGCATTGCAGGCCTAAAGCTCCACGTCAGTGACCTATATTTTAATTTCTTCCATCAAACTTTAAAAATGACAAACAGCATGTTTTTAAAGATTTAATCTTTTAAGAAACAAAATATCAACTTTGAACAGAAGGGTTTAAAAACACGTTTTTAATGCAAATAAACTTGAAACATAAACCTATTTGTCATTTCAAAATTCACTTGTATTGTCTGCGTGAAAGGCACAGTAGGCTATGAGCGAATACATATCAACATTAAAAAAATGACAAAGTCGTACAATATATACCATGTGCTACTGTCTAGGATTAAGTATGATGAGACTTTTCAGCCCGTGACCCCCAAAATAACAGTGCCAGAGACTGGGCGACCCCCGACGGTCGCCAGTGATCTCCAGTGTGCTGGGCAGTGTGGCGGCGGAGGGAGCCGAGGGCACCACCGGAGGAGAGGCGAGCGATGACAGCAGCATCACCGTGGTGCAGCTCCCCGCACAGACTGAGGGGACTTGTTACACGGAGCCCATCACCGGGGAAGCCTGCGGCGGGAGAAGGCGGTCTGCTCGGCCTGCCCTTGGCTCTGGGGTCCCTCCTTAAACAAATAAATAAAAACCTTTTAAATGAAACATTCATCTTAACAGATAAGATTTGATCATTTATTTTAAACGTCAGGCCTACAGCATGGCCAGAAACCCCATCTAAAAACAGAGGCTCTGTCCTAATTACCTGATTGCATCCACCTGGGTTACTTGGCTCAACCCAATAACTTTATATAAGTTTACTTTAAACCACACTTAAAATAATAATATAATTATACATATGTAGGCCTACATGTCTACAGTATAGCAACCAATACATGTTTTAAATACATAAACATTCAAATGTGAAAGACACCTTCAATGAATATTTAAAACTTACACAAAATCAGATTCTTGTAAAAATTAGAGTACATGCATTGTTCCATCTGTCAAGCTAAGATACATATTTAGCTCTTAGCTTGACATGCTCGTCCAGTTAGCATGTATGCTAACTGGACATGCTCGCTCAATTAGCATACATATATATATATATATTATTTATGTATTCCATTCCTTTAAATTGAATATTTAAAATACAAATTAGCTAACTAAAGACAATTACACTGCGCTAAACAGCCAATTCGACAAACAACCGAGAACCTAAATAGTATGTAATTATATCTAAAACCACAAGACGTTAATTACCTGTACTCGGTGCGCCATATTGTCTGTTGTCTGTTCTCTCTCTCTGTAAACCTCCCGTCTCATTAAATATAAGAGCCGCGTTCACACCAAGTACTTTCCTGTACTTAGTTCCGGCACTAAGAGCCCTGGCGCTTTTAACCCCAGGGTACTTAGTACAGATCGCGTTCACACCGGAGTACTTTTCCCTGAGGGAAGATTACAAGTACAGTAGGTGGCGGTAAGCACCTTAAAGTTGTTTGCAACCCGCTACAAAACAAGAGAAGAAGAAAAACTGATACAGGATCTGTTTAATCGCCATGTCGGTTTTCTTTATTGCACTCTCAAGACATAACATTAAATAGAAATATTTTAAATGTAACTAAAGTGTCAGTTGTACATGTCAGTAAACATTGTCAATATAAAATAAAGTGTCAGTTGTACTATATAATAACAGTAATAACAATTTATAATAAACTCCCAGCTGTAGGGAGTCTCAGCAGCAAACCCACCTTTATTATATATCTTCCTGAGACCCACTGCATCCGTCTGCCATAAACACTATGCAAACATACATGTTAGTTTTGGCCCATAGTGGACTCCATGTTGTGTTGTGTGAAATGGGGGGGAATTAAAAGTTTAGGTCAAATAATATTTAAAATGATATAAATTATCATATTTGTGTATGTGCCCCTGCCATTCCCCCACAAGGTTGCAACATTGATGATAAATAAATGACAAATAAAGCTTTGCCAGTTTATAACCGATGAAACATGATGGTATCAGAATAATCACTTACATGTGATGTATAGGATGCTACACAGGTCACAAAAGATAAAGTGTCAGGAGAAATAAGCTTAATCGCCATGTCGGTTTTCTTTATTGCACTCTCAAGACATAACATTAAATAGAACAATTTTAAATGTAAATAAAGTGTCAGTTGTACATGTCAGTAAACATTATATATCAAATAAAGTCATAACAGTAATAACAATATAAAATAAACTGTCCCAGGTGTAGGGATATTCTCAGCAGCATGCACACCTTAGTGCAACGTTGTGTGTCGTGTGTCAGTATTTACAAAAACTATACCAAATAAACTGTTATTAAATGCAGTTTGTCGCTCATCCTGCCGCTGCGCCGACGCTTCCTCATGGCGCAGCGCCCACACTTCATCCTGGTGCTGCTGGCGCTCCATCTGCTGCTTGAACACTTCTGCCTGGCGCTCCATCGAGGTGAGCATCTTGTCCTCCGTTTCCTGGGCCTTGGTGAACAGCACCATCTGATCTCC